CTAAATCTGGCTCACAAACCCTGTTTGTTTGTTGATTATGATTACTAAGTATATACATGTACATACCTCGGACAAACTATTTGGCAATAAAGAGGATAATCCTAATAGTACAGTGACCTACTAATTACTATCTATCCACCATTCATGTGTACATATTATTCCATTTTGTTTGCATGTCTACATGTACATGTACATTGTATTTTGTGTTTTGTGTTTTGTGTGTTACTTTATTTACAATTTCCTGTCCTTTTGCTTTGCAGTTGATACAGTTTGTAGTAATATAATTATAATAGTAGAAACAAGTAGTGTTTATATTGGATTTTAATTGGCATTAATTAATGGGACACAAATGTATTATCATTATTATTATTATTATTATTATCATAATCATAATGATCTACTTCTATTTTCTCTTTTCTTTATAATGTAGAATCCGTCCATTACTCTAGTTCATTATCTTGATGTTAGTGTCAGTGGTTCTTGTAGGAAAGTTACCCCAGCCAGTTTAAAAAGACAATCCACAGACCAGGTAAGTCCTCCGTACTGACCACGCCTATAACCACACCCCTTACAGGTTAATCCTGATGTCATTGGAGGCCCACCGGTCGATAGTACAGGGTTACTAGCTCTCAGCGATGAGACTCTCTGCCGGTATTTGTTATCAAGTAAAGGCTCGTCAACCAGTCAGGTCTTACTGAAGAACCTTTTACAAAGCATTCATCAGTCCGCCCACACTCTCTACCAGAAGGAGGGGCTTGTTACCACGGCAACCTTTATCACTTACGTACAAAAGACGCTGTTTCCTAACCGGTGGAATGAGCAAGAGCCTTTGGATGGTAATATGGAGAGTTCTGAAGAAATGACACTAAGAGATAACGTGGCTCTGTTTGATCAAGCAATGAAACTGATCCAGTTACAAAGAGGCTCACCACAGCAGGTGCTACTGCCTAAAGGTACGACTGAGAAAATGGCATCAGCCGATGTCTTGAGAGCAGCTGCTATACTCCTAGCTCAATCTGACACTAATAAGAGTACAGCTGATGGAACAGAGTCTTCTGGAGCATCTAACGTATCATTATCATCAGTATTATCAATAGTTCGGCCGTTATTAGTACAAGCCACACCCACTACCTCTCTATCCACTAGAAATCATTCCGTTCATCATCACACTCCCAATAGAATACCCGCCGTCACTCAGACCCCGCCCACTCCCGTCACAATAGCCACGCCCACTAATTCTCAAGTTTCTCCCGATGATTCAGAGTACCTCTCCTTCATTCATCCTCCGTCACTTGAATCGCTCAAAGCAGTTCTCCCCCAGCCTCTCGATATTGACTCCGCCCTCTCCTCCTCCTCCTCTGATACATGTACATGTATGGCGGAGGTCACTCAGTTTGCCGAGTCTTTGCTGACGATGCGTCCGCTGGAAGACGCTCAACGTCTAAAACAACAAGAAACCAATGCCGGTCAAAAAACCAGTTTGAATACTAGTCAAACCGGTTTGGATACCGGTAATACCAGTTTTGCTAGTTCAGGCGATATCGATATGAGTTCTTCTGATCTCTTCTCTGATAATTTCCTTGACCATTTCCTTGACGAGTTAACCAATGGTACAGTTCCGCCCACTCACGATAATGACATATTGGGACAGTCAGTCCTTCATAATGAGTCTTTAGCCACGCCTACTTTTAATGAATCTTTAGCCACGCCCACACATAACGGGTCAACTAATGAGATGTTGCATAATGGATTGGCTCCACCCACTTATGATAGTATTATTTATAACGAGCTTGCCCCGCCCACTCAAAACGATATGTTACCGCCCACACACAATCAGTTACCTGTAAACACTGTAATGGATGCTTCTACAAGCCATGCCCCTCAAATTGACTCCGCCCATGACGACTATACCTTATCTAGTCTTGATCTTGATCCGGATAGTTTAAAGATATTAATGGACTTGTACAACGAGGGTAGAGGAGAGGAACTGCCCCTTCCTCTATCACCCACGTCACAATATATGGCCTCACTTAATGGCCAAGAGACGCCTAGCAACGTCAGCACTTTCAGTTCCCATGGAGACGAAACGAGTTACTATGGCAACGAATCGGCAGTCTCCACCACTCCAACCATGTACAGTGAAATGGCCGTTTCCATGCCAACTAACCCCACCCCCATGGCAGCGGCTAATTCCATTCCCATGACAACCAGCTCTGTTCCCATGCCAACCAGTCTCTCCTTGTTTGGTAATTATAGTTTCTTAGAACGGAATCTTCAATTTGCTAACTCGTTATTGCAGCAGCCACCACATTTAGCCAGTAGTGTATCTCATAGCCCTCACGTGTCCCCACTGCATGTTCCTCCTTTGTATCGGAGCTCCTCTCCTGTTCAGTCTCCGCCCAGTCCTTCACAAGCGTCCATAAGTTCTTTATCAACTGCTGGTGGAGACTCAGAATCGTCTCTGGTTGCTGAGTTGTGTGAGCTTATGAGTGAATCTCCTAACGTTCAACAGGAGGACTTCTCACACCTCTCTCTCTCCGGTCCAGAGCAGCAGGAGCTGCTGGAGGCTTCACGAGTGATACAGAAGACACTGAGGAGGTGTAAAGAGAGACCTAACTCAATGGTGACTTATAAAGAGAAGAATGCTGCACTCCTCATTGAGAGATCTTACAAGAGATACAGAGAGGTAGGCTGTGCCAGTACTTTATGCCTGTGTGCATATTAGTGACAATTGACTGTTCATATGGTACATTTTTAGTTGAAGAGAAGGAAAGATGAAGCAGCAAGATGCATTCAAGCTCAATACAGATTATACAAACGAAGGACAGAAGAGCTTCAGAGAGCAGCTTTATTCATTCAACAGATGTACAGGTAATAATAGTCCCTACTACTCTAATGTCAAATGACGATTTCATTTTTTTAAAAGTTTCTAAGTTTTATAGAGTGCAAATGCTTTTAAATATTCTGATAATTTTTAATGTTTTTGTTGTAGATATCAGAGGAGAAGGAGGATATCAATGTCTTCCCTAGCTACTCACAGTCAAAGCAGTTCCAGTTCATTTAATTTCAGATGAATACTAAATACCTCATACTACTACTTTAATCCTATCATTACAATCAATCATGAATTTCACAACTTCATTGTATATTAATCACATATAAAAGTCATTTTAACTTTTCATAGAGTGAGAGAGAGAGAGCTGGAGAAATGATGATAATAGTAATTATTATTATTATTATTATTTTAATTTTATTATCATTTATGAGTTTTTAAGAGTTTTCTTCATCATCACTGTCGCCACCACCTCCTTCCTGAAACACTGGTACTGGCTGAGTCCTGAGAAAAGAGAATTATACATTAACAATACAGTACAATAGGGTAATATCATATCCATGTGAAAGAACTGCCAGTTTCTTGACAGAAACTAATTTTAGAGGTACTTGACTACTTGTATCCTTATACTATCAGTAGATGTACATTGCAGTATTATGTCAAATTCCATCACGAAACTGCTTCACATATCTTATATACATACTGTTTCTCTTACTTTTTATATGCTGGATTCACATACATTGGATTTTCCTCTGATATCTAAAAACACAGCATCATTAACTTCAGAAGCATTCACTTAATTCATGTTCACTCACTTTTGCATATTTCAGGAGTGCTTCCCTTGGATCCTCATCTTTATCAACTGCTTTCTCTAGAGCTACCATCTTCCTCATGTAAGCTCCTATTGAACTATCACCACCTGAAGCAACTCTACCATCAACACCTTAAAAATAAAATAAAATATAATAATAAATAAATATACAGTAGAGGTAGTACAGGATTGTCTTGTTTACCTTTCCCAGTGACTGGTAGAGCTGGTTTGTGAGAGAGGATAGGATCCTTTCTTTCTTTTTGTCTTTGTCTTTTGAGTGTCTTCATCTCTTCATCGCGAAACATTGGCAAAGCATGAGCTGGAGAAATGAGAGAGAAAGAGAGTATGGAAAATGAATAGTAGTTTGGAGTCAATTTCTAGAAGAA